AAAAAAATGAGTAGACGTAACTTTTGGAACCAAAAGACATAACTTACCCAAGAATAAATGAATTAAATATTATTCCTTGTCAATACTTGATGAAGCATAAAATAATCTAATTTTACGTGCTACTGTTATTTCATTTTCAGTAAAGTTTGAATTAAATATTATTTCTTTCACCAACTTCACTGATGAAAGATAATGGAAATGTCTAGACTGTCAAAGTCACTTCAAGTAATAAATGCTGACTGGTAGATATATTCAACCGTACTGGAGTAAATTGTAATATGTTCCATAGCCTTTATGGTGTTAATTGTAATGTGTTTGGATTTCTTAAATAAATAAGGTAGCTTTTGGTATTGTTATTTCATTTGGGGTAGTGTCCCACACATTGAAGAACCAAAAAAGCATATTATACTTTCAAGCATGTATAAAAAAAAAATGTAAAATACATGTTCCGTCAATTGTAATGAATGAATAAATGGAACATATTTTAAATGTTTTACCCTTTCACTTGTCACTAATTATTGTGTTAACATTTTTATAAACTCATTCTTTTTTTCTAAAAGGAATGATTTGTTAGTGACATCAATTTTACAAAAAGATTTGGGTCGTTACAATTTAGACAAGCAATTCGCCAAAAATGAACAAACCCGAAGATATCATCAAATGAAAAATCACTTTTCATTGGCTCGATTCCAATCGATTTAAACTAGCAATTCGCGAAAAATGAACAAACCCGAAGTTATCATGAAATGAAAAATCACTTTTCATTGGCTCGATTACAATCGAATTAGACTAGTAAATCGCCAAAAATGAAGAAACCCGAAGTTATCATGAAATGAAAAACCTCCTTTCATTGGCTCGATTCAATCAAATTATATTAGCAATTCGCTAAAAAAAATAAACCCAAAGTTATCATGAAATCAAAAACCACTTTTCATTGGCTCGATTCCAATCGAATCAGACAAGCAATTCGCTAAAAATGAACAAACCCAAAGTTATCATGAAATCAAAAACCACATTTCATTGGCTTGATTCCAATCGAATTAGACTAGCAATTCGCCAAAATGAACAAGCCCGAAGTTATCGTGAAATCAAAAGCAACTTTTCATTGGCTCGATTCCAATCGATTTAGACTAGCAATTCGCCAAAAACGAACAAACCCGAAGTTATCATGGAATGAAAACCACTTTTCATTGGCTCGATTCCAATAGAATTATACTAGCAATTTGTCGAAAACGAATAAATTCGAAGTCATCATGAAATCAAAAACCACTTTTCATTAGCTAGATTCCAATCGAGTTAGACTACCAATTCACCAAAACGAACAAATCTTGTAATACTCTGAATTTTGTACTCATTTAATTTTTAGGATAGCAATTTAACTTTTCAAAATTTATTATGGCCAAAATTATTTATGGTTGCCAAATTTTGCATTGGTTGATTTATTAAAAAGTTTTCCAAATAATTTGTTAATTAGGGGTTTAGGATAAATGTCCATTTTACACCTAATTACCAAGGTAAACATTTTTTTCTCCTCTTGGCCGTGAGTGGGGTGGCTAAGGCAATGCATGAATTGTTTAAATTTAAGCATGAAGTGGCTAAGGCATGCATGAGGTGTTTTAACTTAAGCATGTGGTGGCTAAAGGCATGCATAGGTGTTTAATTGAAGTTAAGATTTTCTTTCATGCTGCCCACGTGTAGAATTGGTTGAAGAATCACCTTAATTAATCATTATTTTTCTTACCTATAAATAGTAAAGTTGCTTCCATTTATTCCCTTGCAAGAAAATCAGAATATCACTTGTTTTAAAGGGCGGTTGACGTGAGAAAGAAAGGATAAAGTCTAGCATTCTCAATTCATCTTTCAACCAAGATTTCTTCAAGTTTTATTGTAAGATATTTTCTATGCTTATGTGGTAGGATTTCATGGTAATATTTATACTTAAGTTATGCATGAAAACCATAATATGAAAGACGTGGACAAGTCCACAAAGTTAGATACCTATTTATGCCTTAGGACAAGTCCGAAGGGCATCGGCAAGCCGGAATGTGCAAGTATGTGTTTGAATGCTTTCTTTTGTGTAGTATTAACATGTTAAATCCAAGCATTGTATCTTACTGAGTATTCTTTATACTCATAGTATTTCATATTAAATTTTCAGATTCATAATTGTGGAGTTGGTGGAAGTCAGTCGGCAAAATCGATGATGGATCAAGGACAAAATTATTTTACATCGAAGTTTCTGTTTTATATGTTTTGTTTGACTGCTTTCCATATGTTTTGCTTTTGTTATTATATAAAAACATGTATAAGACATGATGTAATATGGTACTGGAAGTAAATTATGTAATTATATCTATCATGTTATATTAAGAGACTTTTTTTTTGTTTTTACTTTCCCTTGCAAGTGATAAAAAGGCAGAAACGGGACAGTTTTTGGGTCAACTTCAAAATGTTATTTATCACTCCTTAAACGTCCATTTGAGACTCTGAAAATATTGCTGCATTCCTCATTGAGTTATCTTAATATGGGCACTAGAATCACTCAATTTGGATATCTATAGCCCGAGATATTAATTATCAAACGTTGAAGGGCAATCTCAAATTTCTATGCAATACGTCACTGTTTTCAGTAAAACGCCCATATCATATGATCTTGGAAATTTTTCATATTTTAACCTAGAAAATGACTTGAAAATATCTTTCTAATGTCATAAATTTCATAGAAAATGGAGTTGGGATGAATTGTATAAAAATAGTCGAACTTGCTGCCCCAACTTACCATGGCAGTGCCGAGTCCGTATATGTAAAGTATAATTTCATGTCGACACGCACTTCTACCAACC